ATTATTATACATAATTTTTGTATAATATAAATATTTATAAAATATATTTGACTTCATTTATAATAGGATAATTTTCTATGGTACAATACAGTTAAATAATACAACAGTAATGGAATGGTCCCTTTTTTGTGGAAGGGTTTAATTTGAATATACACAAAGATTTGGAAAGGCAATGGAGGAATTGCAATACTCTAGACGCAAACCCCAACGGAAGTAAGCATTTTTTTTCTAAAAACATTTATATATTCAACTCCCCCCMCYYCCCCCCTAAATTTAAGAACATGAGAGATCTTGAATATGGACTATCGAAGGGCAAGTTTGCTTGAGTGAAGACTAGGTTGTACGAACATTTAGTTTTTTTCAGCTAACAATAAAGCATACATTTCAATATTATTAATGTTATTATTATTAATGTTTTTGTTGTTGTAATTTTACAATAATAATTTTATTGCGATGTTCATAGCAAAAAGAAAAAAAGTAAACTATTGGTAGATGTGAGTATTACAAAAACACAATTTATTTTAAAATTTACTTTTTTGCATGGTTCTTAAATAGAACTAGCCATCCCATATTTTTCAATGTGTTTCCATATTGGTCGGCCTACAATTATTCTAACAAACTGGAAATTATTCGGAAAGTTGGCCAGGTACAAACACTGTCTAATTAATATACTAGATGGCTTAGTTTATAGAAGAACATGTACCTGAATACTCCTTGAATTTTAATTTGATACCTCAGCACTAATCCAGTAAACAATTTTGTTAGAGGTCAAACTTGATAGATTGATTAGAAACTTTAATAGGCATATTAATTTTATTACGTTATTATTCTTATTCAACAGCCGTATTATGTTCCTGACAGTGAAGAGGAATAGGTAAGTGCTTTTGTACTTATGCAGTTTCAGGGTTGAGTTTTCTTTACTTTTTTAATCACTTGGTGAGGATGGCATCATCTTTGAATGCTTGAACCTCAAGGTGTGAGCATAAGTTAAGGGCATCCTTTGGGACTGGAAAATGGCCGTTGAAGTATGGCACCCTGAGGGACTGGCATGTCTGCAGCATGCCTGGACCGAAGGGTGTCAAGCACATAGCCATGTTTGTACCCGGAGGTGCTGGGCTGGACTGGAGGGTGTTGAGCACAATGCTGGGTTTGCACCCGGAGGTACTGGCATGTCTGCAGCATGCCTGGACCAGAGGGTGTCAAGCACAACGCTGAGTTTGCATCCGGAGGGACTGGCCTGGACTGGTGGGTGTCAAACACAACGGTTAGTTTTGCACGCAGAAGGACTGGCATGTCTGTATTATGCCTTGGCGTGGATATTGTAGAATAGTACAATTTGATGGGGATTTTTAAATGGGGTTCTGTGAATGTTTTATTTCTTGAATATTTTCATTTTATTTTTCAAATAATTATTTATTTATATCTTTTTTTATATAGTAAAGAATACGGCCTCTGTTGCTGCTCATTTTATTCTTTCCCATTTCAGGTGGTTTTCAGCGAAAACAATCCCAATGATTATGATAAAGGAGATGACTCGACCTTACTGCTTTGTGATGGTAAAATATATCTATTCATAATTATTAACTACAATTAGTAATTGCCTGCTCTGCTGGTTCTTTTCTTATTGTACTTATTATGTATATCTTTATATCTGTATATATATGAAGGAAAAAAAAGAAAACTAAATTATAATTACTACTTATTTACGAGAAATACGGGATAACTGAGAATTAGAGGCCCATTCAGGGCATCCGTCTGGTTTGGGCCTTGTAGAGGGATTTCCTTTTTCTCGCGGAGAAATTCGTCCTCGCACGAGTTGTGGAAGAGTGGAAATATGATATTTGTGTAAAGACTGCTTTTCCGTTTCAACTCCACACTCTCCCATGGCAGTGGCCGAACGACATAGACTCTTCTTTGATTGCCATTTTCATCTTCCTCTTCTCCACTTTCCTCGCTGGACATATAATCAATAGTCAGCACTTCAGCCACTTTGGCTTTTGTTGCCTCGCTCCAGTTTGGCTTTTTGTCTAAACTTTTAACACGTCTTTCCAGTTTCTGTGAAACAAAGTAAGAAAAAAGGTAAATACCTCATTTAATTTTTTAAAAACAGGTGACTAAGATAATAAAAACGAAGAGGTGGTGTGTTAAATGACCTGGGAAATCAGGATGTGACAGAAAAGTGTCGTTAATGCATAACTGGTTGGAGCGTTGGATTCATTTGAACTTACAACATTAGAAGAATATTTTTGAAATAACTGTTGTGCAAAGGTTTTTATASGTGTAGTATTTATTCAATCTATTTTTWAAAAATCCTCGAAATGCACTCGTTTGTTTCGATTATTGTTGTCAGTAAGTACGTGTTTGACTTTTGCGTGACGTCATATTCCTTCGCGTAATTGCTCGTAATTAGGTGTTAACAGCACAGGCATGTAATAGGAGCGCGCCAATAGTTCACTTAGCCATCATTTATGTCCAGAATACCCAAATAGTCTTTAAGCCTGTACTCGAGAAGTTGTCAGGCTGGGAAATCCAGAACTCGGCAATCAAATAAAAATGGTCTGGTTTTATTTACCTCTCTTTTTCTGTTTTGCTTCCTGCAAGTTGTGATGTGGGCTTGGTTCGTTCCCTCTTCACTACGCTTTGCGTAGGCGCGCTTTGATCTCATTTATGTCTTGTATGCAGCCACAAACCAAATGTGAAAAGGAGTTATAAGAACATTGCTCACTACTGACTGAAATACAAAAATTAGATATCTGGTTTATGTAATCGGAAAGCAAAGTATTCAAAATGATTGACACCTTATTAATAATATTTTTAGATGTCGGTTTTTGCCCTATATTCATTATCAGGTTACCTTTGAGTTGAATAGCGCTCCAAGGACATGAACCATTATACTCGTGCTTTAATTCATCGTCTATGTGGTTAAATATTCGAATATTATGAGGCGACTCATTATTGCGATAAAGAAAGATAAAATTACATAAATGTCAAATGTGCATCAAAAATTCATGCATAACGGGGTTTAATTATGTGAAATTGAAATAATGCTTCAGACGAATACCTTTCTTGGATTTTAAGCGTGTAGTTTTCTTGATCTCCATCGGCCAGGGCTTTGGCTTTTCTTCGTATTTCATTCTATGAGAGAAAGAAGAAGCATCGAATAAAACCTTTAAACCTCGTTTAAGGTCACACGATCCGTAGGCACTTTTAGGCGGGAAGAAATGGAACCGGTGAACAATTAAACGAGTTTAAACAAAAATACAAATCATATCGAAATTATCTAAAACTCGTTTCATTCTACACTGTGATGTTAAAATCCCTTTACAAGTGAATTATATGGCGTTTAGCAAAATGAAGTAATAATCAGTTCCGTAACATTCAGTTTGAGATGACTAATTAAAATATTTAATTTAGGCGGGACTTTATGTTACTTAGACTAAGAGCTCACAAAACCCTTGTGATAAATAGAAGATATTCGTTCGAAGTATTTACTTACACTACACATGCGAGGTACGCGGATTATTCCTGCACTTATTTGCCTCACTCGCCTGCCATGTCCACCTTCAGCATTCTTTTTTGCTATTAGCCCATCGATCTTTTCAGTCATTATTCTGAAGGCGGCTTGATCTTTAGAGTGTATTTGCTGGACCTGTCCCCTTAATGCTCTATTTTCTTCTATGACGTTATCTAGAAGAACCGCATAATGGTTTCTATTTCTAAAGCTGTAATACAAGCAAGGTATTTTACTCGTAGGTTTGCCATTTGTGTATGGGATATGTACAGCCGAGAAACCGTACTCGATGATCGTGGATTACTATGGTATTGAGGGTGAATCTGTTTCTATTTCTAAAGCTGTAATAAGAAAGAAATTTAATTGGTGATCCAAAAAAGTGGGCTGACGTATTGTGGCTTTGTGCAAAAGCAGTTAAAGATATCCACGACAATGGATATTTGCATTGTGACTTAAAGGGGGATAATATTGTTTTAATTGGTGTGGGAGGTCAATTTCTTCCCATTATTATAGATTTTGGCAAAATGAAGAGGCTGTGTGATGTGAAACTGAAAAGGCTCACTGCAGAAGAACAAGATTACTACAAAAAATACCACAAGCATATTGCACCTGAGGTTGTTAGGGGTACGCATACCCCATCATTTGCAAGCGATATATATGCTTTTGGGTTGATCCTGTCACTGGTGTGCCATTTCAATAGTTATGAAAAATTAGAATTCTAGCTTTTAAATGTATCAATGGAAACCCTAACAAACATCCTAAAATCGAAGATATTATTTCTGATCTTGACGATCTTGTCACATGCGAATGACATTTATGGGACAAAATGTCTGACAAAAGGTGCCACAATGTAGTGGGTCTGTTCGCTGCTATCTCCTAGTTGAAAAGTAGCATAGGAAAACCTAGAGTAAAGTTTTTGAATAGGCATAAACCTAGACGGACCACCTGGGAAAGTGTTCTGTGTACTCGCAACATAAAATGGATTAAAACTTGCAAAGGTTGTATCTTGGCATGGAAAATACCAAGTGACGCATGCAAATAAATACTTCTTGTACACACCATCTTTCAAAAGGGAATGTGAAAAGTAGTAGTCCACCATCCCAAATTAAAGACATGATATTACCATCATCTAGTGGCCAAGAGGTAATGATTCCTGTTGAACGCCTGCCTTGTAATTCACACCAGGCAAAGTCGATGCTGAAGTGTCAAGAAATCTGGACGTTATCAGTTTTCTCATCAGTTGCAATTCCACTGATATGTTGTTGGTAACAATGTTTGCAAGTATTCCGTTATATCTCTCAAAGCTGAAAAACCAAAAGCTGTKAATGGGTCCATAATCGGCAAATACGTCTTTCAAATGGCAATGAAGGTGCATGTTAGGTCACAGTGCGAAATTACAGATTTCCRAAATCGGAAATATTGTCGGAAATTCGATAGTTTGGAATTTCCGTCAAATTTACGGGTACGGAAATCCACTTTTCTGAAAGCCAGTCCTCCTTCACATTTCCGTTAAGCGTTTAAGGCAAATAACGCCGTATASACACTGCTACATGTTTCCGTTCCATTTAAGGCACACGGAAATTGAATAAACTTCTGAACACTTAGAAAAAATGTAACAGTTAAATGTAAATATAAAATATGCAT